TTACGAAAATATTTAAGGGTTGATCCCGATTCTCTACCTCTGACTCATACAGTAGATTGTCAAATTTAAATTTTTGACAGTTAGACACATTGACAATATAGGTTATGTGTATTGTACCTGCTTAAAGTATCATTATGTTAGTTAATAAATAATGATGATAATTCTTTTATAAAAAAAAAAGATAATTGTTCATTAGAAAATAAAGTTTCTGTTGAAGTTGCAAAATTACATTTGATTTATATTATTATTTTAGACGTACTGTATATAAAATGTGTCTTGTCAGTTTTGTGTTTTTATAAAAAATCAGTCAGGTTTTTGGATATAATTCCGCTGTAGTTATTTCTGAATAAAAACTTCGTACTTCCTGTTGAAATTATTCATTGGTTTCTTCAGTCACAACCCTATAAGTTCAACAGGTTATGTAGCCAGATCACGTCAGATCCTGAGGTGCGTGACATAACGAAGATTTGAATTTTGGGTTTCATACAAGTATCCTTTGAGATGGAGTTCAAACCGCACATCGATAAATTAAAAGGATCGTTGAACTGAACGCATGACGTCGCTAAATTGAGTTGCTATTGTGTCACCAAGAAGTGCTTGAGTTAGTAGTAGGTGATACCAAGATTCCTGATGAACCAAATGGAGATACAACTGCTAAAGTTCGAGAAGAATATGAAACTAAACTGAGAACATTTAAAAAAGGTGATGCATTTGCTCAATTGATACTTGTTGGTAGCATGAATGAAGCAAATGTGCAGTTAACTTTAACGTGTGATAGTGCAAATTCAATTTGGGAAAAACTTATATCAGTATATGAACAGAGTTCGGGACAACGTCTTGATCGTTTAATTGAGTAATTTTTTACTTTTCAAATAGACCCTAGTGTCGATATAGTTACCCACATTTCTCATCTTTAGAGAAATATTACGGAGCTCAATGACAAATTAAAAAGATTAGTTAATGAGTAGAGTTATGTCTACACTACCAGCGGAATACTTTGAGATTAAATCCTTTTGGGAGTCAATCCCAATTGATAGAAGAAATTTCAATAAGCTTACTGAACGTCTGAGTGTGAATAAGATGAGGTTACCTGAAAAATCTCCACATGAGAGTCATCATCTGCTTTGGTTATGAAAAAGACTGCAAATCATACTAGGGAAATTAAAAAGTGGCGAAAACGTGTCAGAAAATGATATAAATGCCACGGAATAGGTCATTTTGCTAAGAATTGTCCATATAAATCCTTAAAACAAACTATTAAGTTAGATGGAAACGCATTTTCATGTGTAGAGAAAAATAAATATGAGTATATTTCTGAATCTGAGCAATGGTTGGCTGATTGTGGATCATCGGCAATGCTGATGATTACCGTGAAGGGTGCATTTTGGGTAAGCAGCATAGGTTGCCATTCAAAGATCGTATGTCTCGACCTACGAAGGCACGTGATCTGATTTATTCAGACGTTTGCAGGCTTATGCAAAAGCTATTTTTGGGTGGAGCTAAGTACTACGTTGTTGTCAAGAATTACTTCTCAAAATTTCGTATGGTGTTCTTCATTGAAACAAAGTCTGAGGTAGTAAGTACATTGCCTTCGAACCTTTTTAAAAGAAGCCGAGACAGCAAATAAAAATATTAAAGTGTTCCTAAGTGACGAAGGAGAAGAATTTGATAACGCAGAGGTGAAAGCAGTTCTTCAATCTTATGGAATACATTTTAGATTTACTATGCCGTATTCGCTCCAACAAAACGGCATAGCAGAACGCGAAAATAGGACTCTTATAGAATGCGTAAGAACCATGTTACATATCAAGAAGTTGCCTATCAAGCTCTGGCCTGAGAGTATAAATACAGCTGCATATGTTCTTAACAGAACAGGACCAACACCAGTAACGAGCAAATCTCCAAATGAGCTGTGGCAAGGTAAAATTGTTAAAATTGATTACTTCTAACAGTGTAACAGTGTCGAAGAAAGCTTGACAAGAAAAGTATAGGAGGTTTTCTTGTTGGATACTGTGGTAACAAAGATGGTTACAAGGTTTGGTTGCCTGACGAAAATAAGGTAATTACCAGTAGAAATGTAATTTTTACACAAGAAAATATTATAGAGAAGAGAGTAATGGAGAACATTTTGCAAGAAAATACTAATGAAAATGTTGAACTAGACAAAGAGAACGAAAGTGCTATAGTAACAATATAATATGAGTCTGATGAGTTTGAGGCCAAGTCCAAGAATCATGATTTGGACAATATTGAATACCACCACCTTTAGTAAGAATCAACTTTTAAATTGTATTGATAACTATTTACTTTTTGCCGAGTGTGAAGCTCTTAACTCTTATACTGCAGCAATTCAGTCTACTGAAGAAGGACAGCCATGAAAGAAAAAATGGATTCTTTAGCCGAAAATGATACCTGGGACCTAGTCACTTTGACAGAAAATAAAAGGTTGATTCAAAGTAAGTGGGTATTTAAAATAAAACAAAACACAGATGGAAGTATTAGCCGCTACAAAGATAGATTGGTAGCAATAGATTATAGCCAGAAATTTGGAATAGATTGTGATGAAACTTTTAGTCCTGTGGCAAGATATGATACAGTCAGAACAGTCCTTAATGTAGCTGCATCTCAACGTCTAAAACTGTTACAATTTCTATGGTCAACTGCTGAAAGAAATTTGTATGAAGCAGCCAGAGGGATTTGATGATCATACAGGAAGAGTGTGTAAACTGAAACGTAGCTTGTATGGTTTAAAACAGTCTTCACGACGCTGGAACAAGCGGTTTGTAGATTTCATCAGAAATGAAGAAATGATAAATAGTTCAGATGACCCATGTTTGTTTCAACCTATGAAGGATAACTAGAGATATTAATTGTAGTAATTTACGTGGACGATGGACTCGTAGCTTGCAGTAACGAGTGTGAGATGATCAAATTTATCAACGACTTAAAAGAAAATTTTAAAATTACAATGGGTTCATTGGATAGTTTTCTTAATTTACAAATAAAACAGGTGGCTGAAGGTATTTTTGTAAATCAAAGTGCATATATAGCAAAAATTTTAACTCGTTTTAATATGCATTTCGAAACACATCGAGATCAGATACCACTTTAGTCGAGAAAAGTACCAGGAGGATCTTTTTCTTTTTTTTTGGTGTCATCGGCATCGACTGCTAAGATCATTAGCCTCGTGTTCTGTGTAGGCTTTGTTACTGTTTCCCAGCGCCACTTTAGGAACAGCACTAGAACCCAACAGTGAATGGTCGAGTGGGGAATCCTATCAAGGCATCAGAATTTATTTTAAATTATTAAATTAAATAAAAAAATTCTGACCAACGGTGGGATTTCAAGATAATCCAATACAATAAATATAGGACTGAATTTGAATATTTATTGTGCAGTTAAAGTTTTATTCTCAAGAGCTGCCTACGCAGGATTCTCATTTTCTTCCGAAACTTTAATTTAATTGGTATCGGAATTAATATACCCTAGGGAATAAGAAAATTACTAACTTTCTCAGGTATTCTTTAATTATTTAAGCAAAGTTTGAAAGTTTCTTGCTTCGATATGTTGCATTGCGCTTGATCGTTACGAAATTCTGTAAATTGTTTCGAAATCCGAAACCTGACGAATTATGCTGTTATAAGTTCAACGTGTAGAGCGTTTTTTTATGGGAAATATTTATATGGAATTTAATAATTTGGAATATTTTAACGATTTTATATTTATATTTTTATGCGCAAACCTTTTAAAAATAATACCTGTAAAGAAAATTTAATTAAATTAAAACGAATAAAAAGTTACCATAAAAAAGTCTGTTCCACAGCAGATATATGTATCTAATTTATACCGGGGCATTCGGGCCTCATTCACGGAATTATTTTCGGTTGTCCTAAGGGAATGCAGAAACCCTAACGCGATTTATCAGAATGGTATTTGAGGCGGGAATGTGGGAATACACTCTGACACTAAGGTTATTTTTATAAAGTATGACATCGCATTTTTGTTTACTCAGATCAAAATAAATACAATATTTTTTAATTTTGCTCATAATTAATGAATAGAAGATAAGGAAATAATCAAATGTGAATTTCTTTAAATTTCTAAGTATATTATTAGGTGTTGTAGCGAATTTCTGTAATCAAACAATTTTATTTCGTGAACGTTAATTTTTGCAATAAATCTGAAAATATTTAATATTTCCGAAACAGTTTGGTATAAGACATAGTATATAAAATATGTCTAGAATTTTCTGAAGAATCTAAACATTTAAAAATATACAGGGTATTGCATTAAAAATAAGAAAGTTGGTATTAGCCACTGTTATATGACACATCCTGTATAAAAAGTTTTTATTAAAAAAATACGCAACTAAAAATACCAATCGACGTGTCTGAGCGTTTTTCCGAACACGCCCCCATTTATTTATTAATGAATTTATTCCATTTGGCTGTTCCACACTGTATATAACTATCTATATCATTGACCTGTCAAATTACCATGCCCATTTTGTTTGGAATGCCTAATTGCTATAGTTGCTGTAAACCGACAATTCCGGAAGCAGAAGCGGATGATTAAAACGCACCTGATATTTTGCTTGCTGCTGTCAGTGAATATTATTTTTGGAGTCACAGTTTATTGCTAAAGAATCAGTTAGCTCACTCGGACCAGTTGAAAGTTCCAAAATAACATCCACTCCAGGGATACAAATTCAGGATACGCAGAAGACTGCTATTTTATTATAGGCGGTTGTCATATATTGTATTATCCGAGTTGCGCAGTGTATAAACTGGAACGTTGAGATGAAACGTGCCGACGCAGAGTGAGCGATCTGATTCTTTAGCTATAAACTGTGGCATAGGAATCAAAATGGCCGCGCCCTATTTTGGGCGTGTCGGACCTCTCTCTTGCACCGTATAGTAATCAAAGTTTGTGGTGTAGTACCAATCTTGGACCCAATTGGTGTTGTTGTCAACTTATAACAAAGTTTTTTTTTGTTTCAGAACCGGACTTGTCCATGTATCCTCGCCGTCCGTCCGGCAAACGGGCACTAGCGATGTTCGCGCGTTGGGGCTCGATCAACGGCATCGGTAAAAATAGGCCGCCGATTAGAGCCAGCAATCTCTTCGATTCAGACGACCAACTCAGCACGAACAGCAGGAGAATGCAAGGCCAGCCGCTCAGATGGGGTTAAAGACGTTTGGAAGGTAGAAGATACAGCGATTAGGGCGGTTTGAGGTCTTAGAACTAAGATACGGAGGAAGAAAATACGCTTAATTTGGTTAAAAAAATGTTTCTGGTGACTTAACTGTAATATTAATTTGTATTTTGGAAAATTTAGATTTTGGTAAAAAAATAATATGACTATTTTGTAGATAACGCTTGAGGAATGATGGATAGCAACTCCAAATCCTTACATTTAACACATATTATGATGAAATAAATGATTGAGTACCAGTTACACTTTTGTAGTTAAAACATTGAATTTATGTCTCTTCTGAATATTAGTATAATTTTTTGGGGTTACTAAATATTCATACTAGATATGCTTTAGTACTTCAACAGTTCGTTAAGGATAACGCATCATTATCCTGGATACTTAAATTTTTTTATTTGTAAAAATTCATTAATCAAATCATCTTATTGAATGGTGCAATAATATATTTTCAATCATTGAATGAAAAAAATGTAATTTTTAATTGAATTTTCAATATTTAGGAACACCGCTGCACTCAAAATATACAGTGTCCATCATAAATATGGACGCAAATGAAAAGTATTTTTATTCTAACTACTATCATCTTACTTAAATCCGTAAAAATGTTTGATACTTAATAATTTGAAGCCTCGTTTAGACTGAAACGAGGCTTTAAATAATTTCTTAAGTTCAGATTATGGTTTGTCCGTCCTGTATACCTAGATGAAAGGATTTCACAATAAATTTTAACAAATATAAACAGTAAATAAATCTTAAAACAATAATTTATCTTATTTATTCGTACAATTTGTGTCATGCAGTTTTATTAAGTCATTTTTCTCTTTCGCCATATATTCGAGTATACTCGTAGATGCAGCAGATGTTCTCTATATAATAATGATAAAATATAGTAGCTTCCTCATTTTTCAAAAATATATTTTTCATGCATATATATCATATTTTTCAAAACAGCAAATGGTCTTTACATTTTGTGAGAGCAAAAACAATTTTATTTTTAAAAACAAAACACTTTGTCAACCAATTGTTATACAGTATGTCAACCTAAGCAAGTTGTCACATAATATATAGAAAAATTTATTTTTATTATAATATAATCAGATATTAAATCTAGTTAAATACCAGGTCTGTCAGAAAATGTGAAATTTGCTCACGGGTGAAGCGCCTTTAATTTTGAAAACATCGAAAACTGTTTTATTAGAATTAAAAATTATGTTCTAATATGCAATTTACCTCTATCTACCCTGAAAAATAAGACTTAATTTTTTTTACACATTTTTCTCTACATTTTAAAAAAGTTTCCCATACACATGGTTTTTTAATCTAGATTACTTTGACAGCAAAATTATGACAATGAGTGTCATAGTAACAATTACTTTTAACAAAAAAATTTCAAAGCTGTTTTAGAAATTGATACCAATATTTTAAAATGACGTACCATAATTCCAAAATGTTAGAAGAGGTAAAAAACGTATAATTTTTAAAAACATGTTTTTTACTGTTGTTTTTTGATAATTATTTCATTAAATGACGACATTAAATTGGTTAGGTACGTCTTATTGTATAGTACTTCTAGTCAATAATTGGCAAAGAAAAAAATTATACAAAAACAAGACTCGAGCTCACACGACAGATGGCGATTATCTCGCCTAGGCAGATCCGGATTCAAAAAATGTTTGTTCATATAATTTCCATGTTATACATATATTAATACTGGTTAGGTAACAACTATAATACATTTTTACAAACTATTTGAAAAATTAAAAAATTACTTGCTTTTTAAAAATGTAGAAAATATACAGTGTGGTGATAAAGTAAGGAACAAAATTTATAATTGCATTATTTATTGTTTTCAAGCAAAACGCTCGGACAGATCAATTGTAATATTTAATTAGCTACCGTATAGCATAAAATTTTTACTTATGACGTCATGTATGTTTGCACAATGACGTCATAATTGGTTTTTCAATGAAAACCCTAATTTTTGTTTGCTGTTTTAAATAGATGATCCAATTACTTTAATGATGGTGTAAAAGAATTGGTACCTTAAATAACAATTTTTTTTGACAAAATAACTTACCGAAATAAATCAAAATTTAACTTTAATGAAAGAAAATCCTAATAACACTACAAAAAATAAACAATATTTAGCGTAAATGTTCAAATTGCTCTCCTTGAACCATTTGGCACTCACCAATATGAGTGTAAACACTTTGTACACTTCGCTCAAGGACTTCAGGTGTAATGTGCTCCACTTCAGCGCGAATTCTTTGCCGTAGCTCATCTAAATTATTTGGCCTATTAAAATACACCATTGATTTTAAATAACCCGATAAAAAAATCTAAGGGAGTTAGGTCTGAGGAACGCGGTGGCCACTCAATTGCTCCTCGACGTCCTATCCACCTTCCGGAAAATGTGGCGTCAAGATATTGACGGACGGTTATTCTAAAGTGTGGAGGCGCCCCATCTTGTTGAAACTAAATATTCTGATGGGGAGCATTTTCTTCGTGATCATTTGGAAACATAACTGACAGAGCTGGAAATAAATCAAACCGCAAATAACGTGCTGCTGTAAGGTTTCCTTCAAAAAAGTAAGGCCCTATTAAACGCCGTCCAATCCAAAAATTTAAGTTTCTTTAGCGTTGACTGTGAGAGTCTTGAGTCCAGTGAGGATTTTCTCTTGACCAATACATGCAATTATGACGTTGTAATGTCCCATTCAGGCAGAAAGTGGCTTCGTCAGAAAAGAGTATATTATTTAAAAAATTGGGGTTTCCATTGCAGCGTAACATTAGTTCTTCGCAAAACTGTAGGTGGCGGTCTGGATCATCCTCGTTAAATTCGTGAATCAATTGAACCTTGTAAGTTCTCTTTCTTGAATAACCATACGAAAAAAGAGTGGTCCACATTATTATTTAGAGCTAGCTGCCTTGCAGAATGGTGAGGATTTTCTTCAGCTTCGAGTAATACATTTAATCTGGTTTCGTCGTTTATAGAGGCCGACCTTGCCGAGACAAATCATCGACGGATCCCGTTTCGGTAAATTTGATAACCAATTTACTTACTAGGTATAGATCTTACAATAGGCGGTCTATCAGGGTCAGTGCCGACTCGTGGTAACTTAAAATGGGTGTTCACTTTTTCCAATAATTTTATCATATGTAAGTTCGGATCAAAACTTTGTACAAGAGTTAATATCACTGTTTTTTTTATTATTTGAGTATGTATTAAGTGTAGTTATTATTATAAACATCATACTGTTTTCACGCACTACAACTATTAATAAATGAATATTTTAGTTAGTGTAATATTTGTTTTGTTTTTAATACATTGAAAACCATCTATAAACATTATTAGTTAGTAAACTGACTATATATTTAAATATATATATATATATAAGGTTATGTAGAAAGCTTGACATTGATTTTTGTGTAAAAAATATTATATGAAACTTGCCCTACCATTTTTCAGTTTTTATTGTAAATTTATTCATTTTCACAATTTTTCACAGATGTCAAATAAAAAATATATTTTTTAAATACCTTTTATTGGCAAATAAAATAAGAACTAAAATGTTTTAAATGTTTATTTTATAAGATCAGTCCCATCACAATACATAATATTACAAAGATACAAATTAGAATAAAGATATATAATGCCTGGCATTCTAAATGATACTCTTCCCAGTTTACCAGACCCCTCAACCCCCATTTTCAACCAGATTGTTTTCACAATCAATAAACCCCATCTCCTTACAGGGTTTGATTTTTACTAAAAATTTCATGTTAATATCGCTTTTCATTTTTGATTTTTTTTTTTTTAGTTTTAACTCCCCTTAAATCCCCCATATTTAATCAGATTTTTTTATAATTAAAGAGCTTCTTCTCCTTTTAGAGCTTGATGTTTGCTAAAAATTTCAAGTTGATATCATTTTTCGTTCTTCAGTTAGGATTTTTTTTTAATATTTTAACCCCCCTTATATATTCATATTTTTTCAGTATCAATAGGCTTAATCTTCTTATAAAGCTTTATTTTTACTAAAAATTTCATATTGATATTGCTTTTCGTTTTTAATTTAGGATTTTTTTTTTAATTTCAACCCATCTTAACCCCCTATTTTAAATCAGATTTGTTAAAAATCAATAGGCTTTGTCCCCTTATAGAGCTTGATTTTTGCTTAAAATTTTCAAGTTGATATCATTTCTCGTTTTTGACTTATGGTGCAGACAAAAAACGTGACATCGGACAGACGGACAAAGTAAACCTATAATACTCTTCACAGAAAACTGTATGAAGAGTAGACAAAAAATGTATAAGGAAAAATAAACAGTTTAAAGAGGTCAACAATAATATTCAACTTCTTTTATCAAAGGATACTAAAAGTTTGAAATAGTAGCACATAATTGAACATTTACAGAAATCTGTGAACTAAAATAGTGAGATACACATCGTAAAATGTTATCATACTTAATTCTTTATATGAACCTTTCTAAGTGTATTTTACAGCATATTCCAAAGTATTCTTGCTCTCGCTACTGTCCTACCCTCATTGCAGACTTTTGCATGTACACGTTTACTAAAAAATAATGTGTTTTAATAAATAACAGAATAATAGTAATTTTGTCTAAATAGGTAAATCGGCTTCATCTGCATTTTCAAATTATGGTTTAATTGTAGATAGTATATTAATGTTTTGATATGTACTTATAGGATTGATTACCAAGAGCATGTAGATATATGGGATGTGACTTGTTAAGTGCCTAATCAAAATCAAAATTTATATTTGATACTTATTGCTTTTCGAGACATAGGTACCTTATTACCAACTGTAAACTAATTTATCAACAGCCTTATTTTTATTTAATACTTACATGATCCAAATTACCAATACATCTAATATTTTTAAAAATACTAAATTATACAAACAAGGCAATAAAAAATGTCATTAAAATAAAAGATTTCAGGGTAACACGACTGATAATTACAGGCAAACATAACTGTATATACACTATTTAAATGTATTTACCTTGCCTTAAAGAAGTTTTTTGGGAACGATCGTTGAATTGACAAACATACTTTCAATTTATTAATGTCACAGTTCTTAATTAAACCCATTTTTTTAAATGAGCACAAATAATCTTAGTTTTATTAAAAGCGTTTCATAATAGAGGAATGACGGAAGACGGAATGACAGATTGTTTGATTTAGTACAGTGTTGCCAGAATATGTTTTTGTTGTG